TTATTTATAGCACAAAATTATATAGATTTTTCAAGTACATTGAAAACAGAGATGTGGCCAAGTCAGTTTTGAAAGAAAGGGGTCTTAAGAAGATAAGATTGGGAATAGAAGGTTATCCTACCTACAAAGAAAAGGTAAAGAAAAGGCCTGGGGGCCGACCAGAAGTGATTTACAACTATGTCCAAAGGCCTTTTATTCGAATGTCCTGGGAAAAGGAAGAAGGGAAGAGTCGACATGTAGACTTTCAGTGTGTGAAGAGTAAATCTATCACCAACCTGGCAGCTGCTGCTGCAGACATTCCCCAGGACCAGCTGGTGGTCATGCACCCGACTCCACAAGTGGATGAGCTGGATATTCTCCCCATCCATCCCCCTTCTGGCAGCAATGACCTTGATCCTGATGCACAGAATCCAATATTGTGATGATGTTTCTTGAAACCATAGCATGCTACTATTCACGGTGACGTTGCACTCTCATTCTGCACTGCAAGGCCACTCTCTTCATTGTGAGATGCACATAACAATGTTTAGGATGTTGCAGTGTGGGCTTTTTTAAAGACCAAAGGTAGCTGAATGGTTTTTGTTTTTTTTTTAAATAAGTACAACTCTAGCATCCTGAAGTTCCGGTTATATAAATGTAATTTGTTTACCAGTAGGTTTGTGAAATTGGGTCTTTGTATGGGGGACAGTCCTTTTTCACATGTCTAGACCTTTTCAGAAATTGTAGAAGTTGGCAGCTGGGGTATTTTCAGTCTAGGTATTTGTCACACCCCAGGTAAAATGCAGATTATATAGTTGCACTTTATAAAGGCGGTTAAATGGAATTGTTAAAGCCATTTGTATAGTTGTGATGCACAATATGTAACTTAAATAAGTGCTTCTCTCAAGTACTCCTTCAGTAAAAAGTATAGTTTGCTGCCCATGATGAGCAGAAATATGAGTTTCATTGGGCTTATTTGAATGCTTATGACAAGATTCAACTACCCACCTTATTTATCTCAGTGCCATTTTCACCCTTTGAGTCACACGCAGGGAGTATGAACATTCAGAGATGGTTTATTATTCAGTCTGCCTTACCCTTAATCTGTTAACGTATTTATTTACTAATTTTTATTTTCCTTAAGCGTTAATGGGATCGCAAAATGAAGTGTTGTTCTTCATTTACTAAATGATTGTAAACTCAAGTTTTTCATCAAAATAAACTTTCATTGTTTTAAAAAAAATTAAAATAGTCTAGTTATATGAAAATTCCATTTCTGTGTATCAAAACGTTTGAACAGCCATGATTTCAGATGATTCTACTCACCAATATCTCACATATTTTTCATGTGGTTGTTTTGAAATAATCTCCTCTTCTTGTAAATGTGTATGTGGGTGGAGGAAATTATTCTGATTCCCCAGAGATCATTTACTACATTTTGTAGTTTTACAATTACAAAGTATAAGAAATTATAAAATTACTTAAGGATAACATTTCCTTTTAGGATATTCCTTTAAGATCACTGCCATGAGGATCCATTTAGAACAGCGAACTAAAAGAAGTAAGGAAAGATGGGATCTGAAAATATACAAGGGACTCACAAAGTTATTCAATTGATAACTCATAGATTTGAGAGAGCAAAATTTTGGTTTCTATTAGCAAATATTGGATATATTAGGTAGCATTACTCAGATATCAAATTTTTATTTTATTTTTTATATAATAGTTTATTTTTTACAACATTTTGTGCATTTTCCATTTCAGTTGTAATCCCCGTGGGCTTCCCATTGCCAAATCACCCGTGTGCCATCACCATAGTCCAGTGCATTTCCTCCCCGGCACTGTTTTTGATTCCATTCCCCACATCACCCGCCTTAAAATGTCTATGGGCTATAGCTGTTCATCCTTATCATTGTTTTCTCTCCTGGTCCGTTATACTTCTGCTATGAGTGAAACCATTTGGTATTTTTCCTTTTCTTTTGGGCTTATTTCACTAAGCATGATCTTTTCCAGCTCCATCCATGTTGCTGCAAAAGGCATGTGTTTATTTTATTTTAGTTTTTGGTTGCTGAGTAATATTCCATAGTGTTTATGTACCATATCTTTTTTTTTTTTAAGATTTATTTATTTATTCATGCAGAACTGGGGTACAGGCCAGAGATGTGGAGGGTGAGAGGATTCACCAGAGACAGAGTGGGGAGCAGAACAGGCAGATCGATGAAGTACACTGCTGAGAGGAGCAGCGGGCTGGTCAGGAGAGGTCTGCCAGCCATGTGGATCTCCTCCAGGGCAGGTGGGAATCGAACTCATGCGGAAGTGGCTTAAGCCTCTTAGTGCTGTGCTTTAACCCACTGTGCCACCAGGAAAGGCCAATGTACCATATCTTTTAATCCAGTCATCCACTTGTGGGCATTTGGGTTGTTTCCATGTCTTTCCAATTGTAAGTAAAGCAGCAGTAAACATGGGGGTGCAGGTATCTTTTTGAATCAGTGTTTTTGTATCTTTTGGGTAGATACCTAGGAGTGGGATTGCTGGGTCATATGGAAGCTCCATGTTTAGCAGTTTGAGGAACCTCCAAATAGTTTTCCATAGTGGCTGTACTAGTTTGCATTCCCACCAGCAGTGCAGGAGAGTTCCTTGTTCTCTACATCCTTGCCAACATTTGTTGTTGCTAATTTTAAGAGGTGCTAGTCTCACTGGGGTGAGGTGGTATCTCATTATGGTTTTAATTTGCATCTCCCTTATTACAAATGATGGTGAACATTTTTTTTCATATGCTTGCTGACCATCTGCGTTTCCTCTCTGGAGAAGTGTCTTTTTAGCTCTTCTGCCCATTTTTTGATGGGGTTGTTTATTTTTATTGAGTTTTATCAGTTTTTTGTATATCTTTGTGATCAATCCTTTATTGCTAGTTTTGTGTGAGAAAATTTTTTCCCAATCAGTGGGATGTCTGTTTGTTTTTTGTAATGTCTCTTTTGCTGTACAGAAGCTCTTTAACTTGATGTAGTCCCATCTATTTATCCTTGCCTTCACTATTGTGGCACTGGGTGCTCTATCTTTAAAGATGTCGCTGAAGTGTATATCATGTAGTGGTTGGCCCATCTTTGCTTCCAGGTATTTTATGGTTTCTGTTCTTATGTCTAGGTCTTTAATCCACTTTGAGTTGATTTTTTTTGTATGGTATGAGGTAGTGATCTAGTTTCATTTTTTTGCATGTAGCTTCCCAGTTTTCCCAGCACCATTTGCTGAACAAACTTTCTTTGTTCCATTGTATCTTCTTCACTCCTTTGTCAAAGATTAGCTGCCCACAAACCTGTGGGTTTATATCTGGGTTTCTATTCGAATCCACTGGTCTGTGTGTCTGTTCTTGTTTCAGTACATGTAGTTTTGATTATTATGACTTTGTAGTATAGTTTGAAGTTTGGGATTGTAATGCCTCTGTCCTCATTCTTCCTAGTCATGAGCGTTTTGGCTATTCAAGGTCTTTTGTGGTTCTATATGAATCACATCAATATTTTTTTTCTATTTCTTTGAGGAATTGAGATTTTTATTGGGATGGAGTTAAATGTGTATATCACTTTGGGTAGGATGGCCATTTTGATGATGTTAATTCTCCCAATCCATGAGCAGGTTATGTCTTTCCATTTCATGGTGTCTTATTGTATTTCTTGTAATTGTCTTTGTATAGGTCTTTTACCTTTTGTGTTAGGTTGATTCCCAGGTATTTGATTCTCTTTGTTTTAATTGAAAAAGGGATGGATTTATTATTATCATTATTATTTCTGTGTCTTCTGATTGATTGTTTGTGTATAGGAAGGCCACTGACTTTTGTGTGTTGATTTTATATCCTGCTACCTTACTAAACTGGTTGAGAGATCAATTTTTTAATAGAGGTACTAGGCTACCAAGAAGTATAGCATTTACAGAAAAGACATCAGGAATTCTTAAGTTACAGTTAGTTCATTAAAATTACATGTGTAATCACTTCCTATGTATTCCTTGAACATCTATCATACATTAGAAATTCTGCTGAGCACTGCAAAAGAGCTGTGAGTAAGACAGAATGTAGGTTTGATGTGACTTACAGCTTTTTATCAAAAGAAGAGATCATAAAACCAAACTTCACTCTTGCAATATCATTCCAAGCTTTCTTAATAAGGTTAGCTTGCCACAATGTTTTAGATTAATATCTTATTCCTTCAATGACACCCCCATCCTGGCTCTGTATCCATAGTTGCAGTTTATTATGTTATGAGCTGAGTTGCAAAGACTGATAATCATCTAGTAATATCAACCTCTGCCCTCATGGTGTGGCCTAAAGAGCTGTTTAATACTTTAAATCTTAACTCTGGGGGGGGGGTACCATATATTCACTGTCTGTACTCAGACATCTCAAACTTGGTCTGAGGAAGACTCACATACTCTGTCCACAAACTTCTGTAATAAGCCTAAATAATTACCTTCTAAATCTGCATTTTCCATGTGCACACAACTCTCATGAATAGAATCTCTCATTATATAGCAGAAGGGGATGTTAAGACTCCTTCTGAACTGAATTAAAGGACTAATTCCCATTTCTACTGCCTTGTAGGCAATAGTTGGGCCTAGGATGGGCCTTTGCTCTAAATAAAATCTTTTTTATTTATTAAGCTGATGAACATGACACCTTTTCTTCCCTGAAGTGAAGAATTTAATCTCTGTTATTTCTGAGTCTCTAACACACACACACACACAGAGGACACACACAGGCAATTAACATGTTCAAAGCTACTTCTCCATTTGTACAGCTCAACTGCTTCTGATTGTCTTCATTGTTATCACCAGATTGTTATCTGCTATCTCAAAAGAGAATCCTTATCTTTCCCTCAGATTACTACCTCTTCATCCTAAGAGCACTGTCTACAATTTATTCACCAGACAACAATCTGAATAAAATTATATTAAAGTGTACATAACTTCTTGGTACTTTTGTACTCAAAACTTTGTAAAATGAGATTTAGCTCTTCAAAGTGCTACTTCTATGTGAGTGGAAGAGTTTTATGAATTAAGCCTATCACATATAATGAAAATAGGATTGGTAGAGGATGCAGGGGGTGGAGGAGAATCTACGCTACAACAATATAAACATGCAATTTAATTGGCAAAAAGGGGGGTTACAAACCACTATGCTGAACTTCAGAGGAACAGAGTCATTGACAGAATTCAGGTTTGGAAACCCCTTGGGACTCTGGCTCCTCCAGGAGGACAGGCTGTTTCAGTGGGTCAGACCCCTCAGTGGAGACGCCATATCTTCAGATCCTGTAGACTCCAGGGGCGGAAGTTTGTACCATCTCAGGTTTAAATTGCCTCCCAGTTATTCTGCTTCCAGAGGTTTGCTACCAAATCTATTAACTTACATTTTGGTGAAAAGGCACAGCTGGGCTTTTATCTTTCTTTCCTCTCCCAGCCTTTTATTTATTTATTTATTTATTTATTTATTATCAGTCTTCTTGAGCAAGTACTTACTTTTTAATTGATCAATTATGTCCATTGTCCCCATTTCTCTATCTATCAGGAACATTGCAATATCAATGCATATCACATTTCTGAGAGACTTGGACACATGGCCGCCCACCCAGGTAACCCACATTCTGAAAAAAGAAACACAATGCAATATAGTGATGGTCATAAAGGAAATGTTAAAGACTTAACATTGAAAAATGAATACTTTTAAGGGACAAATGAATAAGGAATGGATATGGTTTTGCTATACATATAGTGAACAAAGAAAGGCCAATAAGTATTATATATACTACACAAAATAGAAGTCAAAATATAAAATATATAACAAAAAATAGATACTTGGATAAAA